TTGAAGATGCAAGGAAGGTCATTGAAATTGAAATGCCAGATATTGAAGAACAGGTGCAGAATGTTTCATGCTTGTCACGTGGTAACCTTGGGAGACGTGTTCGTCAAAAGATTCAAGATGTGAAGGAAATTTACGATCGAGGTAGTTTCCCCGAAGGTCTTGTAATTGAAAGGTCTCCACCTATTGGAATCCCATTGCCAACAGAGAATATGGTGGGCGAGGTTAATGTGAAGGAAAAAATTTGGGAATACTTAATGAGTCGCGAGGTTGGAATTATTGGAGTTCGTGGAATCGGTGGAGTTGGCAAAACCACTGTTATGAAACACATCCATAATGAATTACTGAAAAAGCCTAGCAGGTTTGAGAAGGTCGTCTGGGTTACAGTATCACATCCTCTCAATGTTTTCAGATTGCAAGATGACATTGCTAGGGCAATGAACAAGGCAACGAAGGAAAGTCTTTCAGATTGTCGGGATGAATTGAGCCGGGCATCAAGACTGATGGAGGCTATGAAAAAAGTTAAATATGCACTGATCTTAGATGATGTATGGGATAAATTTACTCTTCACAGAATTGGAATCCCAGAACCAACAATAGAAAATGGGTGTAAAATTGTTATTACTAGCAGATCGATTGGTGTATGCAACTACTTGAAATGTCAGGTAGTTAAAGTACCACCTCTACCAAAGCAAGAGTCTTTGAACTTGTTTTTAGATAAGGTTGGGCAAGATGTTTTACGAATTCCCAATTTGGAAGAGATTTTGAAGCTTATGGTGGCTGCATGCGCTGGTTTGCCATTGGCCCTTGTTGTCATTGCGGGGACCATGAGAGGAGTACAAGATATTTCTGAGTGGAGAGATGCATTACGTGAATTGCGTCAGTGTGTGGTGGACACAGAGAAAGATTCAGAAGATGAGATATTTAATCGTTTGAAGTTCAGTTATGACCGTCTACCAAAAAATTCAAGCATCCAAGAGTGTTTCTTATATTGCTCATTGTATCCGGAAGATTGGAATATTAGAAGAAAAGATCTAATTGAAAACTGGATTTGTGAGGGAACTGTTCAAAAATTAGGAAGCAGAAGAGAAATGCATGATAAAGGAAATGCTATTTTAAATAGGCTTTTAAACTGTTGTTTGTTAGAGGAAGCCAATAAAGAGGCGTGTGTTAAGATGCATGATGTTGTGAGGGACATGGCATTGCGCATCAAGAGCACCGGTCCTGGCAGGTTTATGGTAAAAGCTGGAATGAGATTGGAAGAGATACCGGATGAGGATGAATGGAATGAAGATCTAGACAAGGTGTCCCTCATGGAAAATGAAATATCATATATCCCTCAAAATATGTCCCCCAAATGCTTGATGCTCTCAGCCTTGATTTTGGAGGGTAATTACGGCTTGAGACAAATTTCAGAGTGTTTTTTTGCTAACATGCCCCTGTTGAAGTTTCTTGATCTTTCTAGAACTGGCATTGAGGTTCTACCTAATTCCATATGTAACTTGGAATATCTCACTGCACTGATCCTCTGTGGATGTGAGCGTTTAGAACGCATGCCTTCATTGTCAAAGCTTAAAGCACTGAAGAAGTTGGATTTGAAAGGAGCAGGCCTTCGTGAGGCTCCTGAAGGCATTGAAATGTTAGAAAATCTGGAATATCTTGATTTATCTTGTCCCAACCTGAGGGTGCTACCAAGAGGAAAAATCAGTAACCTCTTCCGCCTCCAATACCTACGTACACATCGAATTTTTTCAAGTGAAATAAGGGTAGAAGAAGTAGCAGGTTTGAAGATGCTGGAATTGTTTGAAGGTGGATTTGATTGGCTGAAAGACTTCAGCAGTTTTGTTAACAAGTTGAACCATTTTGGAAGACCCTGTCATTACTTTATGAAAATGGAAGAAGAAACAGGCGCGCCAACGGGATTGCAACCGGTTCGATTCTGGGTTAATTGGAATTCATTATGGTTATCGGATATCAAGGAATTAGTACCAAAAGATATGAGACACACAGACAAAGATGAGGGGTATTTTTGGGAGTTCAACAATAATGATCTTCCTAAATGGGTAATTTTATTCAGTTGCAAGATGGGAGAAGAAGATGAGTTGGTCCTTCCAGATGACCTTCAGGATTTGAGGATTGAAAGGTGCAAAATGGTCGGTGATATTTCTATTTTTCAGAAAGATCCTACTCAATTGCGAACATGTGCTTTGAAATACTGCCGACGGATAGTGTGTGTGGTTTCTTTGTCATCATCTTCATCTACTTCCTTAACAGTTATGAATAACCTTGAAGTACTAACTCTTGAGGATTTGCCTAACTTGCGGGATGTTGTGAAAGTGGAAAAAGCAAGAGCATCGCTTGCACCAACAATATCCCTTCACATCTTTTCTAATCTTAAACAGCTAAGGATATGGAATTGTTCAAAATTGAAGAAGCTTTTTCCATGTGAGCTGCTTCAAGGTCAGGGCCTCCAAAACTTGGAGCTGATTGAGGTGAAACATTGTTGGGGGATGGAGGAAATAATAGGATGGGAGGAAGAAGAGGAAGGAAATCAAACAACTACTACAATATTGATCACTCTTCCAAAATTAAGGATATTGGAGTTGCAAGTCGTACCAGAATTGAAGAGAATCTGCCCCGAAAGAGGAGTAATGGTTTGTGAATCTCTCAATCGCATCAAGATCAATGCCTGTGTGGAGGTAAAGAGGATTCCCTTTTGTCTTAGAAAGGAAAACGCGCAACCATCTCTTCCTGCTGTCAAATCTATCTATATTTTCAATCCAAAAGAATGGTGGGAATCGTTGGAGTGGGAGAATCCTGACGATAAGATTGTCCTCCTACCTTTCCTCCAATATGATGAGCTCTTGTAAGTCTCATTAGTCTCCCTTTTTCCATCACTTGCATCCCATTCTCTCTTCTCTCTGGTATTTCATAAATAAATGTTTCTATCTCTTGTTTCTGAATGAATCCCAGCGTTAATGTCCATTGATTTGCTCAATTATCTAATCATGACTGATTTGCTAATAAGATGTCTGTCTCGCTAATTCCTTTTTTGATTATTCACAGGGACGGCCCTTGGGTATCTATTAAATATAGTTCTGTTTAGCATTTCCTTCTGCCTCTACGAGTTTCAATTATCAATTGACTAGTTTCTAATGTGCAGCTCAGCTCAGGTATTTATGTATGTTGATTTGCTTCTGATGAGATGTCTATCTCCCTTAATTGGATGCTAATTCCTTTTTAAATTATTCATTCATAGGGAGCAAGCACCTGAATGGATTTCTTGAGTCATCCATTGAATATCAATGTGGTCAATCTGTGTCCACTTTCTAATGCCCAGCCTAGGTATATATGTTTATGTTTTCTTGAACATTTTCCTTTTTTCCCTTTTTTTTTTTTTTTGGCTGACTAATATTTGCATCCTTAGAATTAAGTAA